ATGCATCTGCACTCACACATACCAACATGCACACACATAAGCACATACACACAGAGACAGAAAAATAAGACTGCAATGTAAACCTGGCCTTAATCATTTTCACGTCATATCTGTAGGACAAATTCCTGAAGGTGGAATTGCTAAGTGAAATGCTATGTACATTTTCATAAACCATGTCAAACTGTCCTCACATATTGTATCAATACAGGCTCACATCAACAATGTATGGGAGGATCTGGTCTCCACCCTCACTGCCCCCATCAGCAAAGATGCCATAACACTTTTGGATTTTTGCTAACCTGATTAATATACATTTCTTCATTTATAGACAAACTTGAGCATCTTTAAAGATGTTTGGGTTTCCTCTTTAGATTTTTTTGCATTTATTTATTTATTATTTATTTATTTATGGTGTGTGCATGTGTATGTATGTGTAGCATGTGAGCACATGTGTGTTGCAGGATGCATGTGGAGGTCAGAGAACAACTGCAGGAGTTGGTGCTCTCCTTCTACCATGTGGATTCTGGGGATAAAACTCAGGCTGTCAGGTTTGGCAGCAAGCATCTTTACTTACTGAGCCATCTTGTCAGCCCTGGTTCTGCTTTTCAACTGCATGCACATGATCTTTCTAAGAAATGCACATTTGTATACTTGTTCATTTATAATTGGCTTGGACTGTGTGCAGGACGATGTAGGAGTAGATGAGTAGATTTGAGAGACACAGCCCAGTACATACACTGGTGGGAAGGATTCTGAGCTGTGGAGCCATTTATGAAACACTTACCTACATTTATGTATTTCTGCATCTACTTGTGTAAGTTACATGAAACTAACAGGAATGACTTTGACTGAAGTGATTTTTTCTTTCGTACTTTGTTATATTTTTTGAAGCTTTCTTTTCTTGTCTTTCTTGCTTTCATTTTCTTTCAGACAAGGTCTCATGTAGCTCAGCTAACCTCAGACTTCCCATGTAGCCAAAAATAATCTTGAACTCCTGATTCTCCTTCCTCTACCTTCTAAGTGCCAGGATTACAGACCGCAGACACTATGCTTGGCTTTTAAAACTTTTTGTACACTGTAACTTTTGTACATTGCAAACTTTTTAGTACATTGTACTAGAAGCTAGTTGATTTTCCCATTATGTTCATTTCCCAACCTTTTTTTTAAAGTAGGGTACAAGTGATGTTTTTTCAACTAGGAAAAACAAATGATATGAAAACATGCACACATACATGTACACAAGCTTACTTATAGTCTATATATACTTCTTTCTCTGTTGTGATGACCATTTTGAGACAGAGGGAAATCTACTTTTTAGAGCTCCTAAGAGGTTAACCAGAGTCCTAGGATTTCCTGTCCCAAGTTCTAGCCAGACGTGCACTCACTAGAAACACCGGAATGGGTTTCTCTTCCTCTTTCCTTACTTGGCAACTTCATCTGCCTCCAGTAAATCAGGAACCTAGCAGCCCAGCGGTGGCTTTAGGATGCAGATCCAGAATTTCCCATTTCTGAGGCCAGCTTCAGGCTCAGAGTCCAAGGGTGACCCCTGTTGGTGGAAATTAAATTTGCTCATTTTTCATGAGCCTCATCTCAGGCTGTGAGGATGTTTGAAGTTGACCTTCTGCTCTGCTGCTGGAGCCCACATCCAGCTGTGTCTTGCTTCCTATTTCTACTTGCTCCTCCGCTCCCTGGATGTTCTTGGGACACCAGGACTGGAGGCTTGGAGAATAGAGCCACAGATGTGGCCAGCCTTTCAAACTCTGCACAGCCATGCTGCTATACAGAGAGGGGGTCAGCTTTGGTAGTCAGTAGGTGGAGTGAGGTGACCTTTGTTTTAAGGGTCAGATGACTGGATGATGAAAAACACCAGACTCAGGCAAGTTGTAGAGCAGCGGGCAGATAGGATGTCACACTGCACAGGATGATGTCTGTGTATCCCAGGAAGTTGATGGGAGCCAAGTGCAGAGCGTGGAGGCTGGGCAGGGCTCTGTACCCCAGAGAGTACATGCCACTAACCAGCACTGCTTTTCTCTCTAAGGGGATCTTAGTAAGAATTAGAAAACTAACAGTCCTTTGTGTGACTAGCTCCCATCGCTTCATTGATAAGACTTGGATTTAGAAAAGTATGGATTGTAAATCCATCAGGCTCATGTTACTAGTATTTACCCAAAAAGATTACTCAGCATCCCAGTCCATCATGGAGTGCTGAGTGGAAGTGCTGAGTGGATATGGCTGGAGAATCTGGTTTTAGACATGTGGAGCCTGTTTGTAATTCATCAACATTGTTCTTTCCCCCTGGGGCATTGGCCAATGATAAAGAAAACTGAATACCAGAGGTATGAGCTGGGCACTTTCGAGCTTGGAGAAAGCATGACAAAGCACTTCTCAGAGCCCATCCCTAGGATAGAATCCTACCATTTCATCTCTCAGATGCCTGCGGAGACAAGCTACAGCCCTCTGTTCTGCAGTCAAGGGTCTGACCTCCATTGGTCTGAGGGGGAAAATCCACATGTGGCCCCAGTGAAGCTGATCCAAGCCCACATTTCTGCACTAGGCACAGGACTCAGCACCCAGCCAGTGCCCCAGTATCTGTGACCCTGGTATCTGGGGTTCCTTAAGAAAGGGAAGCGGTCAGTAATGACAGTGTGAGGACTGGGCAGGCACTTTGTAAGGGGTGGGTTCCAGTTCCATTTTGTTAGAAAGAAAGGACTCAGGGGCAGGGGGGCTGCCACAGGACCAGTTCATAGTGTTCTTGGAAGTCAAGGAAAGGCTGAGACTCTGGATCATTGTCTCTAGCCTTCTAGAAAAGGCCTGGAGGTGCAATACTGAGTTTCCCTGGTTCAGACAAGTGTCCAAAGTCTTTTGCTCAAAGGACCTGGACAAAGGCTTCCAAAGTATCTGCCTACCATAGACAGGCCCCAAAGCCCAGACTTAGATTCCTAAAGCTAGGAGAGGCACTGCCTAGAATGAAAACCTTCCTTTAGGCAGATCAGTCCTCATGGCCCTGGCTGGCAGGAAGAAAGAAATGTGTGTTTTTAGGTAGTAACCAGAGAATGGAGCTGAGTAGCAAGGTCTTAAAAAGGGAAGAGACAGAGAACTGCCATCAAAACCCTCATTTTAAAAAAAAAAAAAATATTTTTGAGACAAGGTCTCCCTATAGCCCCAGCTGGCCTGGAACTCACTATGTAGACCAGGCTAGCCGTGAACTCACAGAGATCCACTTGCCTCTGCCTCCCAAGTGCTGGGATTAAAGGCATGTGCCATCACACCTGGCTCAAAGCCCTCATTTTAAAGATTAAAATGAAATGGAAATAAAATTCCCAAGCCCCCATGAGCCTCAGAGTAGGCAAAGAACGGGCCCTCCGGTGCCCAGAAAGTTAGTGGCAGAGCATTAGGAGATGCCAGATGCCCCGTATAGGCTGTTTCCTGGGGCTCAGTGATGGTGCTGTCTTGTTTTGACCCTTGAGGACATTGGCCTGTCCAGGCACAGAGGTGCAGTGACTTCCCATCCCACGTGCAAGACTCTGACTTACCAAGCACCTGCTATGAGCAAGTATCTCCTGTATCTCACTGAAGTTCCCTCCCCAGACTCATGGAAGCCTGTGCTGGATAGTTTTAGTGTCAACTTGACACACCTGGGTTGAGGGAGCCTCAATTGGGGAATGTCCTTCATTGGACTGGCCTGTGGCCATGTCCATGGGGCACCTTCTTGATTGTTGAGTGATGTGGGAGGTGGTGGGTGGTGCCACCCCTGGGCAGGTGGGCCTGTGTTGCATAAGAAAGCAGGCTGAGCAGGGGCCAGGGGAGCAAGCCAGTAAGCAGCATTCCTCCATGGCCTGTGCTCCAGCTCCTGCTTCCAGGTTCCTGCCCTGAGTTCCTACCTTGGGCTCCGAGATGAACTGTGACTCTGGATATGTAAGCTAAATAAACCCTTTCCTCCCCCAAGTTGGTATTGGTCAGTGTTTTTTCACAGTAATGGAGAAACAAACTAGGACAGAGCCCAACCATGGAACCAAAAGCCCATGTTTCACTGTGGTGAAGATAACTGACTGTGACTGTGGGAACTCACTCCCACCCCTTTTTTTTTTTTTTTTTTTTTTTTTTTTTTTTTTTGATGCATGAGGACAGAGTTAAGCTGGGGTGTCTTCCCTCAGGAGCTGACCATCTGGTTATTATTATTATTACTATTATTATTGCTTGCTTGTTTTGAGTTCTCTCCTCTCTCTCTCTCCCCTCTCTCCCCTCTCCCCTCTCCCCTCTGCCTCACCTAGAATTTGACAAGTAAGCAGCTAGGCTAGCTGGCCAGCAAAGCCATGGATCCACCTGTCTCCACCTCCTCAGCGCTGGAATTACAAGCAAATGCTGGCACTCAAGGCTTGTTTACATAGACTCTGGAGAATCAAACTCAGGTCCTCAGATCTGAAAGTACTTTAGCGACTGAACCATCTCCGTAGCCCATGAATCCGCTTTCAAACCAAGGTTCCCCAACTGCAAGTCCATGCATCTTCCTCTCAGAGACCTCTAGATCCAAGCTAGCCAGGATTCTGTTGCTATGTCCACTTAAAAAAAATAGAAATTTGGAATCTAGCAGCCTGAGCCGAAAGTCTTGGCGGCTCTTTCTCCTCTCTGGTCGGGGTCGGCCTGTCCCTTAGGGACCCACTGGGCTCACACCCGCCTTCCACCGCCTCAGAGGTCAGCCGCTCTCGTCCTGGGCTCCAGCGCCCTCACCTGGTGGCCGCGGCAGGTCCCGGCACAAGGCTCCGGGGCTCTGGTATGCGGCTCCCGGAGCAGCCGCCAGAGCCCGCCCGGGTCCGGCTGCTGTGAGTCCGCCCCCCTCGGCAAGTGGGAGGACGCAGTTATGAGGCGGGGTGGAGGGGGCGGCGAGGGGGAGGGGGGATGCTCGCGGGCGCCGGGGGCTCTGGGTGGGGAGGAGCCAACCGCGAAGGCAGCTATAAAAAGCAGCAGCTGGGGCTGGCGGCTCCCAGCAAGCGAGAGCCAGAGAGCGCGCGGAGCTGGGCGAGGAGCAGCGCAGCGAGCCCCGGAGCGCAAGCAGCGCAGACTGTCGGTGGCCCGGTGCCGGGGCGCGAGCGGCCGGGATCTGCATCCCGCTTCCCAGGAGCTCCCAATCCAGCTGACCCACGCTCCGGAATTTGACGCCTGGGGTCAGCGACCGGACTCCGGGATGCTGAGCTTCTGGTCCGCGAGGCGTTGTACTGTCTGGGTCACCAACCGGAGGTAAGAGGGCCCGGCTGGGGCGCCAGGGCTGAGCGGATCCAGTCTCGGAGGGGAGAGGACAGTCGGGGTCCCGCGCTTCCCCTAGGCTTAGGGAAAACGTTACTCACCGGCCTGCTTGTCCGTCTTGCTCTGTGCTATCGGCCTCTGTCTGTCTGTCTGTCTGTCTGTTGGTCAGTCTGTCCGTGCCTGTGTTGGTGGGCACACGCCCTCGTCACCGTCCTCCCTGGGACGTCATCTCTGAGATCTTGGGATCCTTTACAAGTCGCAGGTGTGGAGGGACACGGGGCACCAATGTCCCCGAACGCATCCGACGGGAGGCAGATCTCTGCTTTCCGTAGGTTGTCTCCCTTTGGCACCAGAGGTTCACGCCCACGACAGGGTCTTACAGAAGAGGCATGGCACCGAGGCAGGTGTTGGAAGAAGCAGGGAGTCCCTCCCAGGGCAAGCAGTCCGAGCACCCCATGCCTAGTGGGATGCACCTCACAACAGGTCTGCGTCCGGCCGGCTGCTTCCACCTCCCCGCGGTCCTCGGGGCTCCCTCGCTTACCTCTGCACCTTCAGCTATGTGTTGGTGCGAGGACAGGCAGAGGTGATCCGATGTTAGGCGACCTCGACCACCTCCGCTGAAACTTCGACACTAAGCCTGGCAGCGCTGAAGAACATTTAGTGGCTCCTGGCTGCGGACATCGGCTGCTAGAAGGGTCACCCTTTATTGACGGGAAAGCCAGGGTCCTGATAGAGCTCAGCCCTGAGTGTGGCCAGGTCGCTAGTTCGCCACTCTGGGAGCGAGGGCCAGTGGCTTTCCAGAATGGAGACAGCGGGATGCTTGCGCTCTTGACCTGGAGCGCGACGCACCCAGGGGCATCAGCCGCACTCGCGCTCCCAGAGACTTCCTCACTTCCCAGAAGTTGGACACTTCCGCCAGCGCAGGTTCTGAGGTTCCCAGTCCAGTTCCGAGCAGCCCGCGCTGCCCACAGGTAAGAACTCTCTTTTAATGCTAAGCTTTTGATGTGAGAGCCAGGGCCTGGCTGCAGCCCCGTCTTGGAGACGGTGAACCCCGGAGCAGGTCATCTCCGTGGCCTGGAGAGGGATCTCAGAGGAGCCCTCGGGCTGGGAGCCGGCGGCTGTGCGTGCCCAGTCGCCGCGCCACCATGGACAGCTCCTAGCCACTCCTCCCCTTCGGCCTGGGGCCCTGGGTCTGGAGAGTAAGTCACATGCCTCCCTCACAGACCCAGGTGTTGGGACATTGGGGAGATGGAAAGGGACTGAGTCATGGAGACCTAGATGTTCTTTCAGAAGGCACAAACCACTCAGGAGGAAGCTTACCCTGCTGGAGGCTGAGCTTGCTCCTGACTCTGCAGACCTCTCCATGTCACTAGGGGCTTCCTTTATTTTTATGTGACACCATGGAGATCCCTCAGAAGGGTTACAAGACCCAGACAGTGAGATTAGATGTAATTGCACAGAACTGAAACTACATTCAATGTATGGCATAGGATTGTGTGTTTTGTTTATTAAAATACTTAATAAATATACTATTAGGAAGAGCATTAGTTTCACAGCTTAATGATAGAATAGTGAAGAAACCAGATAAGATGCAATTGCAAAGGAAGGGACTGAATGTATGTGCAAAAGCAGCTATATTCTTTTCTGATCCTAACAGTTTCCTCCAAAGCAGGAAACACTCCTGAGGTAGTTTCCAAAGGCTCTTCTTATCCCGGTAGATGATGGTTCAAATTGCTTACTTAGAAATGGGGTGAGACATAACACCCTGGGGGATTCTTCTCCCTCCTCTATTGAGAAATGACAAAGGATGGACTCTTCTTGTCAGCTCACCTATACAGTACAGAAGCAGGTGCTTTCTTTATGTTAAAAATGATAAACCCAGGTCTGTTCTGCCTGTGACTGAGGTACATATAGAATAAAAACAACACTTCTTATTAATAAGATGATATCTGTGACATTGGGAAAGTCAACTGTACTTCCTGTCACTGTTAGCCTGTCTCCTCATCTTTAAGTGGGGGCTAATGCAATCTGTGACTATGAGAACTGTTACAAGGCAAAGCATGTATGTCCAGTGTTGAGCACAGAGAACTTTCCTTAAAATGGTATTGATTACAAATGCATTCCAAAGAGTGCTGTGCATTTTTAAAATTATATTTACCAACCCTCTGTCCTCTTTCTTAACATAATAATTGAGAGAGACTCCATCTCCACCTTATTTTTACATTTGAGAACTCATTGCTGGAACCCACGATGCTCTCACAATGGTAAAAACATTATAATGGAAGAATTTTTTTTTTGGTGGGTTTTTTTTTTTTGAGGAATTTTTTTGTGAGGCAAATCAGTCAGCTGCTTTCCGCACCTGTACCATTTGGGGGAAAGAGTTTTTAAAAGTAACTTTCAGAATATTATTTAAGTCCTCTGGTCCAAATGATCAATTCTTCCTCATCCCTCTCTCACAATATCTTCTAAGGAGCTTCATTGTCTTTGAGTTGCAGCATGCTTGGGGCATTGGTGTGGGGGTCTCCAAGGCCTGGTTTCTGCCTAAGTGCAGTTTAGGGGCACAAGATGGACTTTGGTCTTAGTGGCCATGGAGAGATCGTGTTACAACACTCTTTCATGCTTGAGGTTTGCTTGAGTGTGTCAATTTGACCAAGACACTTGCTCACAACACTTTGGACCTAGCTGAATTTGGAAGTCTCACATTCTGCATTTTGGGTTTCTGTCTGATAGAAATCACTAGTATATGAAATATAGAAATAGTACATGAATATAGAAATTCAGATAATGGAGTTAAAAGAATAGTACGGCAATTGGAACCCCCACACTGCATGCATTCATATACTTATTTCTATCCATTTTATATTCTAGTGCCTTCAGATTTTCCTTCTTTCCCTCCTTAAATAGATCAGAAGCAATCTTTGTTTCCTCCACTTGAAGGGAATGGAGCTTAGGAGCAGCCAACAGGGACTCTTTCAGTGACTTCCTTCATTGGTGATGTGACTGCAGCAGAAGGTCCCAGGCCCCCAACGCACTCTGAAGTCTGGGATGTCTTCTGTGGACTACAGATTCCAGTCTCCAGGGTCCTTATGGCTTCCAGGTAAGGAAATGACTGGACACAGACCACTCTTGGGAAGCAGTGCCCACAAGGGGCAGACATGGCAAGGGTGGAAGAAAGGAACTCAGTGGCATTCTGCCTGTGGAAGCAGTGTCTGAGTCCCTGGACAGACAGATCAAATGGCAATGGTAGCACTCAGTGAGAAAGGCCAGTGGGATGGAAAGGGCGGCTCTAGTTACTGTCATTGGGCTTCTTTGAAGCCGGCTGCAAAAGCGAACCCTTTTAGTCCTGCGTGGTATTGACAGAGCAGCACTGTGGGCTGGATTAAGTGCACTTTGCATTTTAGCTGTAGCTCAAAAGACACATGCTCTCGTGGAGATTGGCTTTCCCAAAGGGAACAAAGTAATGTTTGTGAACTGCATCCACAAGATCCCATAACTACAAAAGTCTAGGTGACATATGTCTTTGTACATGGCGACAAATACACAGATGTTTCATCTCATCAGAGTAATGTATCAGCTGTCTCCTCAGTGCTTCTTTTCTTTTTTTCTTCACTATGTGGAGGCAGCTTCAGTTTCCTTTGAACAGGGGGCCGAGAGGATCTTACTCCCTTGACTCTGTTGGGTTGGCAGGGGTTGGGAGTGGGTCGTGGAGAGACTTACCGGGCCTGTGTTTCTTTCTGTCGATTTCCCAGCTGCTCATGATGGGCTTCACCTTCCCCAAAGCCTGACGTGGAAACTTTGTAGATTTAGATAGGATGATGGCTGTCATGGTGACTTTTATTAGTCTCTGCACCTTGCTGTCTAGCCTCTCCCTTGGGGCCATTCTGGCCTCTCTGGCAGGTTCTGTGGTTTTTTCTTTTTTTCTTTTTTTCTTTTTTTTTTTAATCTTCTGTCTGCCCTGGTGCCAGACTTTGTTCTAGCCCAGGTCCCTGGCAGGGAGGCTTCTTGCAGAGAAATGTCATCAAATATACATTATATTGCTGCTTAGTTCCCTTGGTGCCAGGAAACACACATGCCCTCCCAGAGGAAGAGGTGCTCCTTCCTGCCCCCTTTTATTTTCTAGGACCTGCCCTCAAACTCGGCCTGGCTCCCCTAGGTTCTGTTTGGCTCCAGGGAGCTGAATATGGCCTTTTCTACCAGACCTGCAGGTCTGGGAAGCCTTTGGAAGCCCAGACAGATCTTCCCCATAAAACATCCACTCCTAGCAAGACTCCCTCTCTCCACCCTAGACAACGTGACTCCTTGCTTTGGAAAATCACTTAGGTATTCTCTTTGAATCTTCTGCAAGGGCAACAAGACTGCAGGATTACCCACAGCTTGAGTGTATAGTGCTTGGACCAGACAACCGCTCTAGAAAGACTTGGACATTTCTTTGTGGAAGAGCTTAGCCATTAGACACTTTTTCTGTCACAGGGAAGACATGACCAGAGCCTGGCTGATGGTTTTTCCATGCAGAGTGTGCATGGTAGACTGCTGTCTCTCCTGTTTCTAGGAAGCATGAGGGGTCAGGAGGGCTGCAAGCTTTCCCAGAAGCCTGCTGCACAGGTGGCCCTCTTTGAGCTAAGGAGTTTGTGCTGTTGGTCTGAGTCTTTATAGTTGTATGGCATGGGACTGAGGGCACTCTAGAGGACAGGAAGATAGGACCCAGACTTCCTTTCCTGTGGCTGTGCTACTCAGGAGTGATGGGGTCACTGGAGCATCTCTTGGAGACTGGACAAAAGGTGATGGTCATTGTGATTCTGCTCCCTGCCTGGACTGGCTGCCAGATCTTAGGCTGAATCCTTGGCTCTTCCAATCATCTGCATCCTTACCTGTTTAGATCAGAGGAGCTTCTTAGGTTTGAACATGGGGCAAGCCACAGGGATGCTTGAGAAAGCGTGAGTTCTGACTTGGCAGATGTGGGGTGGGTTTGAGGGGTCTGCATTTCTGGTTTTGAA